TTGTATTTTTTTTATAATGCAACGGAGTATGTATGTTCTTTCAGAAAATAAATATAGTCTCTTCAAAATTATAAAACAAGTAAATAGTAGGAACAACATCATTCATATTCCGTTATTTTTTAATGAAGTGGAAGGTTTTCTTACACAAAACAAATGAAGTGTCTCAAAACTTATAAGACAAGTGAAAATTGAGCATTGCAGCATCGTCAAGAAATTGAACGATAAAGGTTACACTGTCACACATGTAAGCATAAACAGCTTTGACTACCTCAATAGCGGGACTTCGTGGGGACCGCCGATCAACGACTCTTGGGCTTCTTTCCTTCGGTGTCCGGCTTGATTGATTAGGCGATGAAACAGATTCAGAATCTGCATTGATGGTTCTCACCTTCCGACTCGTCTTTGGTGTAGTAGGAGATGACCTTTGTGGCACATCCACAGTAGTTCTGCATTGATGAAGCATCAAATACATTGTTGGATCATAATAAAATCAACTTTAATTTATTTTGTTTGCAGGACTGATGGTTACATTAGTTATGAACTTGGATGTCTTCAACTTTAGTAGCTCTTCATGTAACATTTAAAAAGGCATCATCTAACATGAAAAGTCTTTCCAAAAAGCCTTGAACATTTGTATGCAATCATCAATTAAGGGTCTGTTTGGCAACATCCATTTCATCCAAATAAATAAATAAATAATTGCTTATTCTGCTACCAAACGGGGACCAAGTTATAACCGGTTTAGCCATTGAGGTGTGAGACTTTTTCATATTACATTAGGATTGTTTGATGTAAAAAAGTTCAAACAAACCATTCACTAAGAGGTTTTAGACCAAGTGGGTGTTCAGTGTTGACAAGTGGTGGATTTTAGTACATCTTTTCAACTCTTAGTAACATTTCTCCTTTTTCTTATAACTTCATTATCAAACAGTTTATACCAAAAGAAACCTGAAGTCAGTGAGATAGTCCTCATAAGAAATAGAGATAAGAAAAGGGGGAAATGATTCTAAAGGGTTTATTACTAGTAGTAGTAATAACATACATAAATGAAGACATCCACATTTATGTATTGTCCTCATAAGATAGTTTATTACGAGTGAGACTACTAGATATAAGGCACCTCAAATAGAAATGGGATTTATGATTTGTGAATAACATTCTGAACTCAAAATTACTTAGGAAGCAGTTTATTTAAAGTCCTACTTTAAACTTAAAATAGTTTAAAGTACCTTTCTTACGAAGCATTTTATGAAAAGTCCTAAATAGCCAGTAATAAAAACTTAAATACCTTGCTTTTGATGTTTGCATATTTAATTTTCACCAGAAGGATTTTTTCCCTTTACCCAGAAAAAGCCCACCTGTCACAATGCAACAGAAATAGTTCAAACAAAGCCTCGTCAGAGACAACTTAAATAATATAGTCAACGAGGATTATACAAGATTGTACGCAATTTAAACAAACTACAGAATTGCTTCAAAGAGACAGCCATTGAAATCGCATCCATGGCTCCACACATACCAACCAAGACTACATAGAGACGAAGAACGTGTATACACTTTATATTGGCCAGTGAAGAAGAGTCCAGTTGTAATTAATTATATCTTATTTTAGTTAACTAGTCTTGTAATTATAGTGAAGGGGAGCCTTTGCACACTGGGTTAAGGTGTTGATGTGTGACAGAGAGGTCACGGGTTCAAGTCTTGGGAGCGACCTCTTTTAAAAAAACTGACAGGGGAAGGTTTGTCCCTTATACACCCTTGTGATGGGACCCTTACCCGAACCCGTGCCTTGTGAGGATGCCTTGGTCACTTGGTGCACCGGGCTGCCCTTTTTAGTCTTGTACTTATGTTAAGACACACACTCTTGTTATTTAATGACAGGTCTCACTGTATTCACTTGTAAATATGGCTCATCTGTACACATTTTCATAAACTAGTATTGGAATTATGGTAAGACACACACTCTTGTTATATAATGACATGTCTCTCTGTATTCACTTATAAATATGGCTCATCTGGATACATGTTCATAAACTTTTCCAAATTACTCTTCATCCGTTACCCGATTCTCACATAAAATGCCCAAAGTAAAAGGAAAGAAAAAACACAGAAAAGAAAGCTAAAAAGAATAGTTCTGGATAAGGAGTAAAAGCCATTTATTCACTTGATGTTCTTTCCTTTTTCTTATATTCTACCTCTTAGCCTACAGTGCACAGTAATAATAAAATATTTTTTGCATACATTGGAAAGGAGTAATAATAATAATAGTAATAATAAAATAAATGGTACAACATTACTTGAGAAAAAGGAATAATAATAACTAACCTTACATTTCAAGGTTACCCCATAAACAACTTTGCTTCTTTGTTACTCATATTTTTCTATATCGGTGTACTAAAGGTGACTCCTCTACACATGTCTTTCTAATTTCATTGAACCGCAGTTATCTTTAAACGATAGGAGGAAATAAACCAAACTGGAACTTTCTTCTTTTCAAAAGTTAAAACTTTTCCATAAATAGAACCAAGTAACTTTGCTCCTAAAATATGTAAACACTTAATAAAGATAAGAAAATCATAACAAAAAAATACACCCAGAGTTGGACAGAAGAGAACAAAACCAGCACATTACAGAGGTTTGAAGCCACAACCGAGGGCCCCACCTACCCTGGCAGGTGAGTAATATCTCACGGGACGCACACATGATGACAGCAGGATTTGATTCCAGATTGGAGATGGAAGGAGGTGAAACTTGAAAGCCACCCGAACCAAAGAACGATTAAAAACATCAAGAAGAAACTTGGCTTTAGTTTGGAGTCTTAATATCATTTTATTTTGATCTTTTTTGTGAAAGTTCACTTATTGGTTTTATAAATTTATAGATCTGACGAAGAGAAACTCAAACTCTCCGGATACATCTGCTGCAGAGATATGAAACCCAACGTACCAAAGACTGAAGCTTTAAAGTGTAAACCACAAACCACCCACTGACCCACATTGTAAGAACAACTTATACTCTTCCCGAAACCCAACCCGAACAAACCCATAGTGAGAAAGGAAAAGAGCCTATACCTCTCTGGCTCTCTCCATGTCTCCAACTACAAGAACAGTACAGACAACAAAACCAAAATAGCGAAAAAAATAACAAAAAAGAGAGAGAACCATATTTTTAACGTGCTTTTGACCAGGAAGCAAAGTGGACATACCAGAAAGATCTGCACTGAGCTAAAGCTGAAAGCTTTAGCTGCGGGAGCTGGAAAATGAGAACTTTCACACAAAATGAAACGAAAATGGAAAAAACTCCATCCTTTCCGAGTTCCAAGAAAATGAAGAAGAAAGAATGGCTTGATGGGTGGCTGAGAGGGTGTTGGTAGGTGTGAGTGAAGAGGAGAGGGAGCTGGAGAAGGTAGAGTCGCACAGTTCCCGAGTCTCTTTCCGTGTAAATGAGAGGAGAGAGAATCGGAGCAATCAGGCAGTGAGTTTGGCTCGTGTAATTAAGTTCTCATTCCCACTCTCTCCCCGTGATACACGCGCGGATGCATGCCCCCTCCCGTTCTCATTCCTTCTTCGTCTCATCTCGATGTTTCTAATCTGAATTTATTAAATTCTGATCTGATCTGATCTGATATGAATTTTTCTGATTTGATCTGATCTGAATCTTTCTGATCTGATCTGAATCTTTCTGATCTGGTCTGAATCCTTCTGATCTGAATCTTTCTGATCTGATTTGAATATTTCTTTAATTATAATTATAATTATTATAATTATAATTGTAATTATAAATATAATATATAATTATAGTCATAATTCTAAAACTATTTAATTATAATTATAATCATAATTATAATTATAATTGAAGTTATGAAAAATTATACCCACTACACTGATTATAATTATAACTATAATTATAATTGCAATTATATTTTTAATTATAATTATTTCTATAATTATAATTGTAATTATAATTATAATTACTCTGTATAATAATAAAAATAAATTAATAATGATGATGATGATGATGATGATGATGATGATGATGATGATGATGATAATAAGTTAAATATAAGTTTTATAATGTTTGAAGTACTTACACTAGACTATTTAAAAGTTATAAAAATTTGGAATTTTGAATAGTACATAACATCTAAAGACTAATTTCACTTGACTAATTTCACTCAATCTCTAAAGAGCCACACCCCATGATTACTCTGTATTTTTAGATCAAATGCTCATAAAGTTGTGCTTTTCATCAACATATAGTTTGTTTGGAGTCTTAAGAGTAATTTGATGCTTTCATTTGTCCCATGGTCTAATTCTTCTTGCTGCCAAATTGAAGATGGAATTCGTTGTCTCTTATAAATTGGCATGGATAATGTTATAAACAAGAGAGAAAGTATCAACACCCTAATGATTTAGCCGTTTCGTGCAAGCTTCTAACTTTTGGTCTCATTTGGAATCTTACACTGGTCTTTTATATCAAATTTTAAATCCAACTCTCCAAATGGGTAACACACACGCACACACATATTTATCATTGGGCATTTGCCCGATCGCGCACCGCGCGGATAAAAACTAGTAAGTTTTATAATGTTTGAAGTACTTACACTAGACTATTTAAAAGTTATAAAAAATTAGGAATTTTGAATAATACATAACATCTAGAAAAATCAACATATAAATACATATTAAACTTTCGGGTTCCCTTATAAAAATTGATTCCGATACTAAACACGTATTGCAACTCCTAAAAGACGAACTTATTACTAAGTTATTCCAATTAAAAAAAACCATTTTTTTGAAGCAGAAAGAAAAATATCAGTCTTGACTTTACTTATCAGTTATCACAATTCACACATCCAGATTTCCGGCGGACAGAGATAGTTGTATTTGAAATTTTGAACCGTCAGATTCTGATCATTGCTAAATTCGTATTCATGCTATATCGGGTTTATCCACTTCCCGGGCAAACATACTTATTAGAGTACTTCTTTGCTAAGCAGCATTAATGGAACTCATCTTCGTTAATCGTTGATCAGTAATCTACAATCAGGACTAATAATGATCTTAAGTAAAGGCGTAAGACTATGGTTAGTGACATTATGGTGACTCTTTACAGCTAAGCCAGCCGCCCTCCTTTTCCGCTTTCCGCCACCGCCTTGCTCCTCCCTTTACTTATCGTCCTCTTCCAGTATCTTCATATTCGGGGTATCATTTCACTTTTTTATTAGGGGTTCGGGATGACGGAGGGTATGGAAGTGGAATCTAGCTCCTGGCGAGATGAGTTGGCAAGCTTGATGGACGACCCCGGTGGCGGTGGGGTCGACGGTGCTGCGCCGGCATTCGAGGCGAAGAGGCCGTCGTCGTTTTTGTTCCCGGAGAGCGAGCCGGCGAAGGAGAAAGAGAGCACGAAGGACCAAATCAAGGGTTTTGTGAAGGCATGGGGGGAATTGTTGCTGGAGTTGGGGAAGGTATGCAAGGACGTGGTGAGGCAGAGCTTGTTCACTGAGAACTCCTACATTGTGCGGAAAACGAAAAGGCCGATATCGGCGGTTTCTAAGAGATTGAGTTTCTTCAACGAATACTTGCCTGAGGATCGGGATCCGGTGCACGCTTGGTCGGTGATCTTGTTCGTCTTCTTTTTGGCCTTTTCTGGTATTTTCATCTCGGTTCCTTTTCCCTTTTCCGTTTCTCGACTGTCATATCCTATGTTCATTCACACTGGCACACTTTCAAGCTCCCCGCACAGTTCCCAAAGTTATACCATTATGAGTCGGAGTTTTGTTGTTGTTCAGACTTCAAACTGTCCGCGAATAGTTTCTCTTCATATATAACTCCAAATTGTCAGCGGATTGCTTCTTTTCATAAATGATTATGGAAACCTGTTTTGAATATTAAGATATTTGGCACCCATCATCCATGAGGTTGGTCCTCCGAATTTTTGTTTCCCTAGAGTCTGTTTGGATGGATCCTTTGGTCGATATAATCTATTTCTTGATGAACAGAATGTTTTCACAAATGATGTCATGTTATAACCTATTCGATCATGTCAATCTTTCAAGTATTTTATAAATCTTAAGTATGTATTTAGAAGATATAGACTAAGCCTCCAAAACGTTTTTACCTAAGCATCCAAACAAGCCCTAGTTGATTGCTGCAATTGCCATCCCTTAATCATTATCCTAAAACTTTAAAAGCTTTGCAGTTTTGGGTGTAAATAATAGAAGGGATACTATGGGCATAGTAGAAGTTAAGAGAGTGCGCATTCATCCTCCTAGTGCCACCAGGATAGTACTTCCAGATGGCAGGCACATGGCATATCAGGCACTAGGGGTTCCATCTGATAAAGCTAGGCATTCCCTAATCATCCCTCATGGGCTCCTCTCTTCTAGGCTTGCAGGTAGAGGTGTCATTAAAATTTATTATTGGGATTAATGCATTTATAATAAATGACTAAACAATTCATTTGGTTTTTCATGTGAGAAGGCATACCAGGAGTCAAATCGTCGCTGCTGGAGGAGTTTGGTGTTCAATTGATAACTTATGATCTTCCAGGTTTTGGTGAGAGTGACCCTCACCCTGAAAGGAATCTTAATACATCAGCTCTGGATATGGCATTCTTGGCAGATAGTGTTGGAGTAAATGGTAAATTTTGGGTATTTGGTTATTCAAGTGGAGCTGTTCATGCTTGGGCTGCACTCAATTACATTCCCAATCGAATTGCTGGTAATATGGTTGGCATTTTATTAAGTCATATGTTACTCTGTTTATATATCAACATGTATAATATGGCACTTAGGGTCTGTAAGGATTGGAGGTTTTGGAGGGCCTACAATTATATCTTACCAAATAGAATGTATCTTTAAAAAAGGCGATTAAAATATTAATCTCTCAATTTTTAGAAGTATCTAATACTAGTATATATATCAAGGTATAGACTAAGCCATCTGAAGACTTTCCCTCTAAAGCCCTCCAAAACCTTCCATCCAAACACGCCCAAAGTGAATGTTTTTTTGGTTGGGTAAGTTTTGTGGTGTCCCTTCGAAACATGCCATGAAGATGATATATTAACGGCTAATGAAGGCCCTAGCTCTTCTAACTGAATCGTAGGCTCTGCTGGTAGTTAGTTATTGCTTATTCTGCTTACCAAAAGACTAATTATAATTAGCCCATAATTAGCAATTTGGGCTTATACTTATTTGGCTTTAATGAAGGTTTCCATGCACTTCATCTCTAATAAAACTCAGCAGATTAGCCCATTCTAGCCGAATAATGCTCTTACTAAAAAGGCCTTAGTGATGTTTTCGGTCTAATTACAGGTGCTGCCATGATTGCTCCCCTAGTCAATCCATATGATTCAAGCATGACACATGATGAAATGACAGTAATGTGGGATAACTGGATGCCAAGAAGGAAACTAATATTTGGTTTAGCACGCAGATTTCCGATGTTTTTAGGCCCCATGTACCGCAAAGCATTCCTCTCTGGGCAGCATGGTAAAATTGATGAAAGGTTGTCTTTATCACTGGGAGAGAAGGTAATGTATCTATCTGCCTCTTTAGAGTCTTATCTGCTTTCATGTAACATTGTTAATAGCTGTGAGGTATGCTTAATTGGTTATTGCATTGTTGCAACATAGCCATGGTGTACAACATCTCATATTTGTTTTTTGAATTGCATCGTTGAATCTTTGATTAATTATCAGTGACACAATAGGTCAACTCATGAACCAGTTTGAGATTCTAAATTTGTGTGTGTATGTGTGCATATATATATATGCTTTTTTCAGATAATAGAGAAATATGACGGAAAGAAGTATGAGAGAAGAGAAAATGTGTAGACCTGTAGTGTGTTTTGACTGGAATAATTATTAAAAAATAAGAGAAAAATAAGCTGAGAAGTATCTCCCTTTTGGGTGAGGGTCCTGCATGAGAATTTCTCCCATCCCTATCTCCTCTCAATCCAAACAACAATTAAAATTATTTCCCCTCAATTTCTTTCTTGCCTACTACTTTCCTTCAAAACTCATGCTAAACAATCAAAGAGTCATGTGCAGTGCTTATATTCACAAGCTATTGTGACATTGACAGGAAGAGCGAGTGTCATGTGGTTTTGATAGTCTTGGTGCTATTTCTTATAAACAAAGATGTTCTTTTGATCTTTTCTAATCATTAGATGCTTGGTGCTTACCTCATCTTTCAACACATGGTATTATTGCAGGATAGGGTTCTAATTGAGGAACCAGCCTTTATAGAATTCTGGCACCGGGATGTTGAAGAGTCTATCCGTCAGGGGAAAGTTAATCCGTTTGTTGAGGAAACTGTGTTGCAAGTGTCCAATTGGGATTTTAGCTTACGGGATTTACAAGTTAAAGAAAAATGTGACTCTTTTGGATTTCTCCCATGGCTAAAGTTCATCTATGGTCAACCAAAATGTGAATTGACTGGATTTCTTGGACCAATTCACATCTGGCAGGTTAGTAGATCTTTGCTCTCACAAGCAAACTTTCTCCATTGAGCCTAATGCTATTCTTCATGAAACTTAGAGCCTGTTTTGTAAGGCTTAAGATGGTTGAAGTAGATATCTTGAGATCGTTGAGGTTGTGGTTGAAATGACTCGATCTGTGTAGAATTATAAAAAGGCAACTTTAAAATATTATAGAAAATAATACGGAGTATCTAAAATAAGCTGAACATGTCCATTTCGGCCAAAAATATGAGTAATGCATTACCTTTTTTTCATTATAAGCTGATTCAGTGCACTGATTTTTCTGTGTGTTTAGAGGTAATAATTGGTTAATAAGCCTAATACAAACCCTAGCAAATGGACTCTTATTAACATGTCTCTCCGGTGTTTGCAACAGGGAATGGATGATCATGTTGTCCCGCCACCAATGACCGAATACGTCTCTAGGGTTCTTACAGATGCCTTTGTGCATAAATTGCCAGGAGAGGGGCACTTGTCCTATTTCTTTTTCTGCGACGAATGCCATAGACAAATGTTCTCCACCCTTTTTGGAAGACCACAAGGAACCATCAAAGCCATCATCTATGATGATGCTTCAACAGCAGAAGATGGTGGAGAAGAGGATTTCATTTCCACAGAATGAGCTGGTTGTTTCCTCATCTGTCACTCAATGACTCAATGCCGTGATGTATATAAATATTGAAATAGGGCTTTCTTTTGGCCTTGGAAAGCTTATGTATAGATTCTTGAGAGGAGTACATTTAGGTTGGGGTTGATCATGGTCATGGAGGTTCACTTCTAGCAGTCTAGCCATTGTGAAGACAGTGATATAGCATTGTGAAGACAGTGATATAGCAGTCTTTCTCTGAGTGTGGCAGGTGACTACTGAATTGCTCATTTTGTGTCGCCAGGTGACCACAAAATAGAAACATGGTGAAAAAAATATATACTCCAAGGTACTTGAGAATAGGTTCTTTGGTACCACTACAATGTGGAGGAGTTTTTGGTATACAAGTTTTATAAACCTATTAATTACGTAGCTCAATCATATCCCATACCTTGGCAGTTGTGAGTTGTGCATAGAAATGCGGAGTAATTAACAATTTAGTTCTTGCAATGTCATTCCCTCTTTTTAAAAACCAAGTGCTACTCCCTCCGTGGCTCCGTCCCTGAATTATCTTCAGACTTTCCTTTTTCGTCCGTCCCAAAATTATCTCCTCTTTCCCCTTTTAGCAAAGAATTTGTGGTTCACAACCATTTTTACACATTCTTACACATTTCTCTCTCCTCTGCACAACTCTCCACCACACAAATCCCATTATCTTAAAAAATGTGCCCAGCCGAAATGGGAGAAAGATTAGGGACGGAGGGAGTATGTTTTAATTTCTGAAGTGCTAGAAATTAACCAGAAACCAATGTTTTAAAACTATGCCAGGCCGGCAGAAATCAAGTTAGACTTTAGAAGGTGGCATAGTGAAATCACTTTTGCTAATTTTTTTACCGGTCTGTTTAAGTGCGGTTTGATATATGACTCATATATGTGGATTTTATCATTGTCTTTATCCAGTGCTTTTTTGTCGGGAAAAGGTTGGAACAAGTTCAACTTAAAACATCTCAAATGAGTAATAGTTATAATACTTCACATTAAGAAGTGCCAAAGGTATTAATACAAGATTTTGCAAAGAAAAAAATAAGTGGGTTTCTTCATAATCTGCTTCCCATGCATGATCTTTGGCTTTTAACTTCCCACAAAAATTGGCTACTTAATCAAATTCACAAAAATGTTTCTTCATTTTGAAACTCGGAAATTCCATAAGAGGACTCTTGAGCAATCTTCTTGTGGAATACCCATCACATTGGCTTCATCTTCAATCAACTCCTTCCTTACAAATTTTAATGAATCCTGTAAACAGTGTAGTAAGATAAATCATTGGACTGTATAATAAAATAAGAACCAACGTAAGTGAGTTCGATGTATATTGTACCTAATCCACATAGTTAAAGGTCCACCAAACATTTTCTAAAATTCTTAAAATATAATACGATGGAGCAGCCATCATACTTGATACAATTTGTCTATACAATATTGGCCATGAAAAATATTTATAAAAAGGTCACACGGGAGTATTTATTTATATAAAAACTACTCGTACATGTTACTTTTTTTTTTAAAGGAACTATATGTTACTTTAAAATTAAGTCTATATGTTTTCATTATAGATTGGTCTTCATAATAAAAAGAAGATATTATATTGGTATAACAAAACGGTAATAACGGTGGAGTTCAAACAAGTAAACAATACTCGGTATTTATTATCAGATCCGTCTAATGAATTTGGAGTCCCCGTTCCAAACGTAAAATTAAGGCCCATATTAATATAAAAAATGTTTAAAAAAATTTCAATTTAAATACTTATATTCAAATCAATTGAATACTTATCAAATATTGTAATAAAAAATTCTAAAAATCACTTAATACTTGATCTAAAGCAACACAACTCATCACTCAATCAGTTTGAGTAAAACAGGAGTACAAGGACTGACAGAAAAATTTATTATACTGATTAGTATTAATATATATTTTTACTATGTAATACGGAGTACTAATGATTTTTCTAAAAATTGGGGGCCATAAATCGGGAGGCCTTGTTCTGTAGAACACGTTGAACGTACTAAAAACCGGCTCTGTTTATTATATACCTGAGAGGTGTCTTGAAGAGAAGATGCACGACCCCATCTCTGTGAGTCCCAAAGAATTGAACTGTTAAAGGCAAAGTTGGAAACCCTAATTGGAGGGTTTTCATCTGTTTGGTTGTTCACTTTCTTCAAATGCCATCCTATTACACCTGAAGAAGAATCGCACACTGGCCCTTCTATCACCACTTCACTCTTGTTTGATCCCAATAATGCCACTGGCCATGTCCCAAAATCCCTGTAAATTAATATCCAAATTTCATCTTAATTACCTATAATAAATACTAGGGACGATTTGAGTTTGCACTCCATTTTATTGTCCAAATTAGATTTTGTACCCCGGTTTTAAAAAACTTTATATTTGCACTCTAACTGTGTATGAAAAGACAAAAATGTCCCTTCAATAACTATTCTGTTGGCCTTCAATGAATATATTCACGATCGAGGGACATTTTTGTCTTTACATATAGGGTTTGGTGCAAACACAAAGTTTTTTTAAAAATGAGATGCAAAGTCTAATTTGGATAATAAAATAGAGCATAAACTCAAACTATCTCTAAATATGCTATTGACTTAAAAAGTTGCAATTTCACTATAACTTTTGTAAGTTTTGTTTGTGTTGAAATATTGGCCAGTGTTCCACAATGGCCTTGTAATACCACAAAAAATTGCCTTATAATGGCTAATCAACCATTTTTTGACTGGTTTGATTAAATTTAAGTTGATTTGATTAATTCACCAGCTACAATAGATGTTTTGTAAAACAGTTTTTAGAGTATCTTTTTTATACCAAAAACTAATTTTGAACACGCCACTATGAGCTGCTAGCGATTTAGATCAGATTGTTGAGCGTGTGCAAGGCAGCAAGGCATTACACGACCGTTTTGTCATGTTTATGTTTTCTTTTGGGGAATTTGACTTTTGAATCTATTTTTAGGCTATAATTAAAATTTATATTCCATTTCCAGAATCAATGACTATGTAAACTCAAAGGATTTGATACTAGGGGGTGTTTGGAATTGATTATACTTCTTCTTTTTTAAAGTAGAAGCAGAATCAGAATCGATTTTCAGAAGCTGATCTCCCCAGCATCTAAAAAAATTGATTCTAGGAGTAAATTAGAGCACCAGAATCACTTCTACACTTTCACCCAAACACTCCAACTTCTGCTCCCTGAAGGAGCAAAAACAGTTTTAAGAATCAGATCCAAACACCCCCTAAACCATACATCAATAATGGTTTTAAAATGTGATACAAAGTTCAATATCACCCAAAAATAGAGTGCATAGTAAAATATCTCTTTTCTTCCTAAAATTTTTAGTTATTCAAAAGTCTATTATTAGATTACCTTAAGAATAAAGAAAGAAAGAAATCTAATTTATATAATTAATTATTTTTCAAAAAGCATTTGCTTGTATTTAAATAGAAACAATACTTGCTATATTATCAAAATAAGGATAAATGACAAAAATATAACTTGATACTTTTTACTTGATAACTTTTAATTATGTACAACTCCTATATCATAGTGACCATAAAAGTACTCTCCTGATAATCTCAATAACATTTTTATCCATAAATCTATTTTATTAATATTTCCGCAAAAAACCCAATGTAGAACTTGTATAATTTTGTGATTAAATGAAAAGGTAGGAAAGGCAAGGTATTAAGATTAGTGTTGAAATCTCACTCCTAAAATATAAAAGTAATAAAGTACTATATTAATAACTAGACCTACTTCTATTATGTTGACCTTTTAAAATTGAACCCGAGTCTTAACATGATATCAGAGTTAAAGCTAGTTTATAACCATGGTGTGACTTCCATATGAAAAATGATGACACAATTATAAAAATGACAATGGCGAATTAATAAAGAATGAATGGTAGCACAATTCAGACGGAGTTTCTGGTCGTGATGAGGGTGTTAAAGTCTCACACTCGTAATATATAAAGTAATAAAATGTTATATTAAGAATTGAGTTACTCATCCTATTAGGTTGAGAATAAGTAAATAATTGAATGAAGGAGAAATGAGATAAAAACGAGGGTACTGGGTGGGATTATAGTCCGGTCAGCCCGATTCGGTACCTTCCTTTTCGATTTTTTTGCCCACCCTTAAGTTTTACAACATGTAGAATGACTAAACACATATTACCTCCGTCCTATTGGGTTTTGCCATTTTAAATTAGGTGAACTATAAATAAAAATAAAAATTATGGTGTTGATGTTTGTGTGGAAGAAAGAAAAAAGGGAAAAGTCAGTAAAAGATACTTATGATCAGGGGCGGAGCCAGGTCACTGGGCCGGACTGGGCTGGTAAAAAAAATATTTTCAGAAAAAAATTCACACGAAATTTTTGACCTTAAAAATTAAGCCATTTTTAAAATTTGGGGTGGGCCAGGGCCTAGGTTGGCCCACCCCTAGTTCCGCCCATGTTTATGATTGAGTCTGTTTTCAGATAGGGTCATGCGTTTCATCTCTTAACAAAGTGGGTCATGTGTTTAAACTCCGTAATCACAGGAGAAACCCGGCGTCTTACGTCGTTAAAAATTGGTGGAGGAAGACGATGAACAGTAACTCCAAACAGGGGCGGAGCCAGAAAAATGCGTGAGGGGGGTCGGAATTTATAAAATTATACGTAGTACGGAGTATACTATATCAAAATGATGAATAGTTATTATACAATACTTGAGTTAAATGTTTTATACGGAGTATGTAGTTGAGATAAATAGTAGTTTAACGAGCACACAACTGATTTCGGTTAATGTATTGATATATATGTAATGTATCATAATGTTCACACAACTAAAGATGGAATAAAGTGTTTTATTTTTAAATTTAAGAATATAATCAACGTCACACATCAAATTTTGCTTATTTCAAGTTAAGATGGTGCTGATTTTTCCAGAAGTCATAACTTTTTACTCGTAATGAGTTACGGGACCCATAATATATCAAATCGAAGGTATTCCAGAGCTCTACATTCTTGAACTTTCAGCGGGGTCGGCTGACCACCCTGACCCCCCCTTGGCTCCGCCCCTGACTCCAAACATATCGAAAACGGGATGGGGCGGATTTGGACATTTAGAGCCCGTTTAGTAAAACTAAAATTGGTTGAATCGACTGGCTATGTTGAAATTTATAAAGTTCATGCTAAAGTAGCTGAATTGGTCGATTGTACTTAATTATGAAGAAAAGATATACCACCTTCGTGCCATTTTAGTTAGCCATCTTTGACCAATAATTTTAAATAATATATGTATGCAAAGTTTAATAATTTTATAATTTTATGATAGTATTTTTTACAAATATAGTAACATTTCTATATTATTAATACTTATACATATAAATATATAATCGATCAAAGTTAGACACCATGGACTTCAGAAGTAAAGTTTAGCTAACTAAAGACCGGCGAAGGGAGTATTTTATTTATAAAATGAAGAAAATTTATATGAAAAATAGTTATAATGGTTCTCTACAATAGCATTAGCTATTTAAGCTAGAAAAGTAAGTTCAATCTTACTTATTTAATTATTATAGTACTCAGCGCGCAAAATAAAAAATTATGTATTCCGTATTTGATTAAAAAGTTGACTGATAAGTCAAAAAACATGGTCAGCCAATAGTCTCTTAATATTTTACATTTCACTAACAAATTAATTAATCTTTAAGTTAACATTCCATCCACATAAGTTATAAAATTAATGAAGTAGTAACACGTGTGTTTTGTATTTCCTATGCAGAGTATTGGAGTACTACGTGTATATGTTTAGTATCCGCATAACATGCTCTCTAATGAACCTGTTACGGGTATTTTAAAATTTCTGGAGTTACTGCACATAAAACTTGTTTATAAATTACTTTACGTGAAAATGTTGCAAGCATGGGTCATTGAATAGTTACTATACAATAGGAGAGAATGCATACTCTATTGTTCTGAGGTGATGAAAGAAGTTGAGATCATAAACATTGAGAAGTCCGGCAAAATGAATAATCCCACTCAGCCTATGGTGCTCAATGTGACTAAGAGCAACGTTTCTCTGGTGATCAAGCTCTTGGTAGAAGTCAGTGAAGTTCTCCTTGACCACCAGATGCCTACACATGATCCCCGTCATCCTTAGTATCATAGAAACCTCGGACGACGATTGCTGCTGCCCCACAACCACCCACAGGAGGGGCCGAGGAACCAGCTTCAGCGTGTTTGCTAGCCTCCTTAATAGCACCCCGACTCCGATCTTGTGTTTCATGGCTGTCGGGGTGACAATTATCACAAGCCTCTGGGGAGTCCCCTTCTCCTGCAACTTCATTGTATGTTTAGGTTTTGCAGCAGAAAAGTTACTACTATCCATCAAAGTCTTTTTAATGAGGTTGTCAGACTTGTCACTATCATGTGGGGTTTCAAGTGTGTAATTTGTTTGGGGTTTTGGCAAAAAATGTCTGCCAGAAAACATTGAGGAATTCCCAGTTGATGGAGCAAAGCCTGTGAAAAAACCCATCACAAAGCAAAGCAGAATATGGCCTACGGCTTTCTTCCATACTTGCACTTTCTTCTTTGATCTTTCCATGGATCCTTGACTCCCTGGGTAATGTGCAAAATAGCATGCGTAGAATTTGGCAAACTGTGTTTGAAGTATTTGTATCTTTCAAATATTTATAGTTGACTTCTAACTAACCAAATGATTGAGTGTTGGTTTCACCTCATATCAATGGCTTAAGCTTTGCTTGGAAAGGTCACAGCTTCAAGTGAAAGGAACAAAGAAATATAGTTAGGAATTTAGGATGAATGTAGCTTTCTTGCACCAAATATTAGTTGGGTGGTGCAAGCTCATGACCTAAAACCATTCAACAAGTAATTCCTATTTCAATCATAAAACAGCTTACGTAGTCACATCTCCCAATTTCAGTCTGCTTTTTCATCTTTAAATTGTGTTTTAAGGGAAAAAATAGAATATTCAACTGTAGTTTGCAGCATTTAGATCCTGCATATTAAGTATTAACTGTCCGGCTCGGCATGTGCTAATACAGTAATACATTCTTCACCAGTACCCAGTGCTCCCCGCCCCCCCCCCCACGCCACTCCATGAAAGAATAACAAAAAAATATAATAGCAATAGTAATATTGATAAAAACAACAATAAACGTAATACGGAGTACATTTCAATAAGCTCTTCATATCAACAAGAAGAGGATAAAAGCAGAGGTCAGATCAATATAAACTGTTAAATCTGCCCAATGTGCACTTCATGATGAACAGTATTCATGTATTGTCTACTTGATGAACACTACCATATGAATTAATTAAAGTTAACAAATCAAAACAAAACTTCCTTCCACGCAAAGTTGGGGGCTTAATATGTCAGTTTTCAGGTTGTACCGAGATGGATTCTCTTTGTGGTCTGTGCCTCCTCCATTTTTTCTTAGTCATAGACATAATCCAGCCAGGAACCTCACCTCCAGATGCATTAATAACATTAGCTATGTTCCTCAGAAAGGGAACATCAGCTTCTGTGTAGAAGGTAACAGCCTCCCCGCTCCTTCCTGCTCTCCCGGACCGTCCTTGATTTAGAACATGACAAATCACAGTTTCAGTAAAACAATAATGTAGCAACCACCTTCATACCCAAAAAAGAGAAATTGGATATTGTGTTTTAAATGAAGGCTGGAAATGAGTGAAAGCTGTGAAACCCAAGTTATATACCAATTCTGTGAATGTATGCTGAAGCCGAATCTGGGAAATCATAGTTAATGACACAATTGACCCCTTTGAAATCCATACCACGAGCAATTACATCAGTCGCGATTAAAACCCACGTTTTACCCACTCTGAAGTTATCAACAGCATTGTCTCTCTGCACTATATTAAGGTTAGAACTTGAAAGATAAAATACAAAACACTATGCTCAAAAAAGAAAGTGCTATATTTGACCAATCATAACTTTTAAATTTTAGTGAGATACAACGATCAACAATCATAAATCATAGTTAAATTTTTTAAATCTCATTTGTTGGTGACTCTTTTTTTCGGAAATTTATTTACATGAAAAATTAGCTTCATGTTATTAAAGTAGTTACTATGGCACCAATATGAACAACAATACCACCAAATACAGGTGAATAATGCTCACGAGAAATATATTACAACCAAACAATTTTAAACCAATTTAGACACTTGCCTGTCCTTGGGAGAGATCAGAGTGTATTACATCCGCTCGAATGTCGTCAAACTTCACTTCATTGTACAGCTGCTTCGCCCTCTCTTTGTTTTGAACAAATAATAGAATTGGTGGGTTCAAACTCTGCAAAAGAATAACATCTATGTTCTAAGACAAAATCAAAGGGGTAGACATAAAACCTGCAAGTATATATTCTACAAGTAATTAGGATCGACAATACAGATTGGAAAACTTAGGGAAAAAATGCTGTTTCCACATTGAGATCATCTAGATAAAAATGACGTTCAGAATCATTGTTTTGCAGCCCAATAATGCAAACGCAATAACAAAATGAAAGTTCAAGACCTTTCCGCTTAGAAAGGGGTAAGGGGCAATGATTGATGCAGTCCTACAAATCAGTATAATGGACGAAGCTAATGGATACAAGATGGATGAAGAAATAGAGACAAAATGAGAGTAATAGAAGAGTAGGGAAATCTTTCATCCGCCAATAATGAGCATACCTCTGAAAAAGTTTGACGAAGAGCAATAAGTTTCCCTTCTTCACTTCCTACAAAGACCAGTTTCTGCTTTATTGTTTCAGATGCAGAATTTCTGTACAAGTTTGAAAGAATTAAAATCTGACGATAATGAGACCACTTGAGGTCCTTATACTATAAAAATTTATACTTACTTCCGGCCTATGATAACTCGAACAGCATCATGCATAATTGTCCGTGCAATATTTTCAACCTCATCCGGTAAAGTAGCACTGAACAGTAGATGCAAGATTGAAGGATTTGAGCAAGCTTTGAAAATTGAATCAACCTGCTCCATCAATCCCAGCTCAAAAAGCTTATCAGCTTCATCCAAGACAAGAAATTCGACCCTGTTTATATATGCACACAAAAAAGAATGATACTTTCCACACAACCATCAAAGATACTTACATTATGTTACTATAATTCTGTGGTTTAGAAAATTGACCTTAAAATAATGGAGGTTGTTTACTATGACAAAAGTTCCTAGAAATTTGAAAAGCATGAAGCATAAGATATGCTCACTCCATCATTTATTTTTATTTCTCTTCTCCTCAAATAAAAATAAGACCTATATATGTACTTCCAAAGTGTAAAACGGATTTCTAAAGTTAAAAGCAACCACTGGTTAATCAAGTACAGTGACCACCTTTACCACTACCAGCCACGACGATCACTTCCACCACTGGGCAATGCAAGCCACAGCAAATGCTAGGCGCCACACCACTCAAGCAATCATAACCACCGACCATATTGATAACCTTTGGCAGTGCTGACACGGTGATGAAGGTGTCGATGATGAAAACGGACTCCATCCCAGGCGACCACTTCCATCCCCGGTAGCAGCGAGCATCCCCTGCTGCCATCAGAACCTGTGTCAGCACTGGACTCCGCCGCAATCAACCATCACCAACAACCATTGTCAGCAACCACCAAACCGGCGATGCATTCGAGAGACTATCCCAATTGTCATCTTTGGAAACACCAACACCCGTCATCACCCCCTTGCACCACTGTCACCATCAACAACCACTGCCACAATTACCATCCCATACTGCCGGAGACCACCACTATGGTTGACCATCTCTGTCACAACCGGCAATACCAAGTTCCCAAACACCGCAGGATAAACAACACCCATGGTTGTCATGGTGGGGAGGCGAGGCGCCCAGCGACCACCTTATCGCGTAGGCGACAAGTCGCACCATATGTGAAATTTAAATATAATATAATACGGAGTAATAAATTATGAATTACGTAGCATAATATGTTTTACTTATAATTCAAATCAGAGTTTAATATCCATCTCAAGTAAAAATTGAGTACATTTAAACTGCAAACTTTAAATATCTCAAGAACTAAATCAACAATTTAAATATTTATTTAATAGTGGTATTAAAAAAAGTAAACAAAATCAGCTGTTTAAATATGCATAGTACAGAACCAAATATGAAAAGATGTAGTCCAACACTCCAGCTGGAGTCAACTGATTGTCATACAAAAAAAAGAGAAAAAGAGGACTTAGTGAAAGAATGATAGATCGGACACAGGCAACAAAGTAAAAGACAACAGAGTCCGGACTTAAATTTAAAATACGCAGAACGAGCGACTGAAGAAAATGGCAGAACGAAGATCTGTGTATGTGATCATTGGCGGCTTGAAGAGTTCTAACATATCACATTTCCAGGTTGGGTCAGCAAAAACAACCGGATCTGACATCACACAGCGACTGGATGACCCCTAATTGACGCCTCAAGACGCCTAGGAGATTTCAAGCGAGTCAACAGAGCATGGCGTGGCTAATCCATCACCGCACCGCCTAGGGGTGCCATGACAACCATGACGACAACTAGCGATTCATGTTAGCCAACCCCAAAATCTTTTGGGTCTAAGGCTTGGATGTTGTTGTTGTTGTCGTGGTTTGTCTTTGTAAAATATGTGTTGGAACCACAATTTCCAAATTCAAAAACACACTTAAAAGAGAAGGAAAACGTGAAAACGTAATAAGGAAATGTAGGAATAAAATCTGGTGGACATATGCAAAACAGTTCCTAGAGTTTCATTTTTTCAATCACAACCAGTGTGTTGTAGTACATTGGAGGTTTAAATCCAGCCAATCTATTGGCATCAGTTAAACTAACGTCTATTTTTTTACTATAAACTATTGGTAAAAATTAACATCCGAGCACATACCAAAAGGATTGTGTTCAGAAGCAAAACAATCTCTTGCATTCTTTCCCTTGAAAAGGGCACTTCCACTTTTGTAGCAAAATTATAAAAAAGTAACACATATTTTGATATTATGGTTTGACATACCTGCTTAAATCAAGCTTTCTGTTCTTAATAGCATATTGTAAGCGAAATGGTGTTGATATGAGTATATCACAATGCAGTACTGAAAAGTCGGCAGTTTTCGTGATCTGTTTAGTCATCAGTTTGATATGAAATTCCTTTCTTCTGGTCAACTTCTTGCATTCTCTTGCTGTCTGAGCAGCTAACTCTCTTGTGGGGCAAAGAATTACAGCTCGGACTCCATCTTTGGAAGTGTGCTGGACAAGCAAAAAATAGAATCAGAAATTTAGGAGTGGCTGTCAAACTCAAATGCATCAAATATTTGCACCAGTTTGTGCAGTACCTTCATCTTCATGAGTATTGGGAAGACGAATGCAAATGTTTTTCCTGAACCAGTTGGTGCACATGCAAAACACTCCCGTCCCTGACAGAGTTCAATCAAATAATATTTGCAGATGATGGCACTCTATTATATAAGAATAAATTGTGTTTAGAAGATCATATTAAAATGAGACCATACCGCTAGGATGATTGGAATTGCCTGCCTTTGGATTGGTGTTGGCTCTTTAAATCCCAGTTTTGCCAAATTGTGCAAGAGGTAAGACTTAGCTCCAAATCTGTACGGCCAATAAGATTTACCATCTGGAATCTTGAAAGCAACTTACTTACATCTAAACTAAGGGTGAAACTGTTACAAAAGGTATGAAGAACACCTTGATTTTAACTCTTTAAAGCTCCGTAGACATGAAGGAACGTTGCTCCCAGAAACATGGATATTGTGTTCCTTCCAGAAAATTGCATCCCTCTAGATGTCATTTCAGTCAAACAAAGAGAAAGAGGCTTGTTACTAATCTCATTTTGCATTCCCAAACAAAGGTCAGATGGTCCAACTTCACAACATATGGCTTGTAAGAAAATGATAAAAAAAAAATACGAGAGGAACCTCCAACTGCCTATAGTATTCCTTTTTTCCCTCTGAAATTTTACTTCGAATATTCTCCTTTCCTTCTCCTTCAGCTTTTGTTTTGGATTTAGAACTCGTGAAGACATTGAATCCTTCAACTGGATCTGGAGTTGATTCCATATTACCAACAGAATGAGCAAAATAAGTTATTAACAAGGTCATCGTCCAACTCTATTTTAGAACTCAGTTTAGGAAATGGTTAAGAAAAACAATAACCTGAAACTGCTCCCTTTCTCTTCCTTTTCTTACTAACCCGATTTGATGTATGCTCCTCTTTCTGAGGACTTCCATCCTCAATGAAATTCAGCTTCTCTGGTGGTTCATCACTTTCTTTTTTCTCCTAAGCCACAGATGAAGACTGCGATAATGAACTATGACAGCATAACTGATAACGCAAACGCACGAAATAGAGGCCTCTGTCTAGTAATGCAGATATTAAAACTTAAACTCGCCTCTGTGAACTTTACTAAGCAAAATTTGGGTCCTTGTAGAGTTTTTATGCATACTGATATTTATCACTTACGAAGTACAGCGTAAAGAAGACATTTTTATACCTTTTTAGGACTCTTTTCGGAAGTAAGAGAGAAGTGTCGAATGAAATTACCTTGAATCTATCAAAAACATCCGCAAACTTCTTGCGATTGAAATGCGTTCCAGCGAACAGAAAAGAAGCGTCTCGATCCATTAACGGGCTACGAGCTTAGCAGCGCAGAATCCGACGCTGGAGTGTATATTGAGACTGCCACTATGGTTCTTCCTTACCTGAAGGTTTTGGAAGTGTTTGATTGTTTTGTTGATTCTAGTTGGGCGAAAAAAGGTCGGAGTTTCTGCCAAATTGCCACCTCTGCTGGCTATTGGAGTTTGGTCGATTATCGGCTTCTTCAAAGAAATTTGGTATACATGGATGGATTAGGGTTTATGGAATTTCTTTTGGTAATGAATAATGATTTTCTGGATTTTCCCTCCTAAAATTAACAATTTATTATCTTAAACAAATAATTAAATGTCTCCATTATTATAGCATCTTCAAATCCTAGAATATTAGCAAAAAATTAGCTCTCCTTATTTGAATGGTTTTATACAATTTTGGTATGTTTTGATATTGTGAAGAAAAACTTACCGAAACTGTATAAAATCATTCAAATAAGGAAAAAAAAAACATTTACTAATATTAATGAGATTATCTCTCACGTCACATGAAATTTCATTACTATGTTTTGACAATTACTATGTACTATTTACAAAAATTGATGGAGTAAAAGAGCATCTTTTTTCAGATAAAATTGTGCTTATGTTAGTACGTAATATTTAAATTTTAAATTTTTGAAAAATACAATAAACATTTTATTTAAACTCAAAGTAAAATTAAAATTGATAAAAGACATTGACACGGTTTATTTTGTCTGGTGCGATTAATATGGAAATCGGTTCAAATAAAATGTAAAAGAGGAAAAATATTTTTGCTTACGTTTTAATTTGTCTAGAGGTAATTATGAAAATTGTAATGAAATGTAATATGAAAAATTGACATTATTAATCTTAACTATTCAGTCGGACCTTAGCCTGTAGGTCCGCCAGTTTGCTATGGGTGGCCAAGGAGGTTGAGTGGTGCTTCGGTGGAGGTGCTCTTGATCATGGAGAGGAATGTTTATCTTTCTACGTTTTTTATTGTTGTTTTAGTTTATCAGACTATGTTATTTTTCGTTGCTATTATTTTTTATTGTAAAGACTCTTGCATTAAGATTGTGTGAAGTTTGGTCTACTTCAATAGTTTGTGGCTCAGGTTTGCCATTAATGGATCAACGAGTTATATTACTTGTTTGAAGGTAATTAACTCCAAGTCTGGTTCGAGGGCTGACGATTGTCTGTGGTTCCTTACTTTTTTTACTCCATTTCCGAATGTTAATGCTTTGATTTCAATCTAAGCACCCCTTAAAAAAAGATCTTAACTATCAGCAAATTTCTATTATTAATTATATATATACTCCATGCTAGTAATTCTAATACGGAGTATAATCTAATCTACTAGAGTACTAGGGTTGTCTTTCCGAAATAAGCCGCTGACCTGCACAAATCAATTCACAATAACGATTCCTTACACAAATATGATTAATGATTAAAGTAATAACGAAATGATAAATATTTATAATTAATTTTAAAGTATTAGTCATATTTGTGTAATTTTTTTTATTTCTTTTCTCATTTTCCTTTCCTTTTCCTTCTGGTATGTTTTTCTCTGCATTTGCTTTTTATACATCCCACCTTCGAGGGTTTGCTAGACATAATGATGGTTTGATGGAAGTTTAGAGTTTCAGAGTAGTGAAGGTGAATATGAAACCGAAGATCAACCGCTCTAAGATTATTTCTTCCCCTCTTCTTGTTCTTCTTGTTCCTGGAAGGCAGGGCCGTCTTTTAGAAGGTGCAATAAATGCTGCGCATCGGAGCCCATTTTTATAGAGGCCTCCAAAAATTTATTATGTAGTACTCTGTAGTAGTTATATGTTAATTTTTATGAATGTTATGTAACATTATAAACTTATATTTCACTTAATTATCTATACTATTTGTATTTCATTATTAAATTTCGTATTTTTTTCATGTTTAAGAGGTGCACAATTTGCCATTTGGAACCGGGACCTCCAAACTCATTAGACGGCCCTGCCAGGACGTCGAAGCCTCCAAGGGTAATGCTTTCCAGTGAAAAAATGAAGAAGATTACCATCCCCATTTGAGCCGATTCCATTATCCGTTCGACCCTATTGTTGGTATTCGGCGTGAGTCCAATCAAGAAGAACGATTAAAGGAAAAGAGAACCGAGCATTCCAGTCCACGGGGTGCAAGGTTACCGTGTATAGCTAAGGTCTCGGGTTCGAAATCCGCTAGACACATTTAGGGGAGAGGAGGGAGGTCTTGGTCCCAATAATTCTTCCTATCTTCACGGAGTTGCTCAGCGGCTAAGAAATGAGGGGATGGAAATTCAAGCTCGAGTTCACGTGGTGTGAGGACCCTTCTAGATTCAGTTGCACGGTTACGGCCCTTCTGGATTTAGTTGTATAGCAACAATCCTGCTGGATTCGTCATGTACTACCAGTACCAACGAAGCTGGTTGTGATCATATCCGGATTTAACTGTCTAGAGACTTTGGAGGGTAGTCAATAGACTCCATGATTAGGGGAGCGCAAACACCGACAATAAAAAAGGCGTCATTGACACCGAAGAACATATCATAGCTACTCACATCGAAGTAAGAACAATCGCAACTCTCGGACTCCCCAATCACTCCTCTACCGGGGAAAGGAAGATGGAGTGTAAATGTAGGATTGTTTTGGGATTATGTAAAAGTGAGATTATTATAAAAAGACCAGTGAAAGATAGGATTATTCTTATCAATTTTTCGTTATCTTTAAACAATTTTTTGGTAAAATTTACCTTTAAACTTTTAAAAATTAAAATATTAAAATAAATTTAAAAATGCGTATACACACACGGATATATTTTGCCTGACACCTAACAGTTTCCATCTGGTCCAATCTCGCTCTTCTTGCGAACTCCCGAGTACGGACTCCTCTACGCTTCTCTGCGCTTTCTTCCTCCTTCAACGGATTTCCTCTTTCTTTCTCTTCATTATTACACTGTGATTTTATACATCTCAGATCGCATCTCATCCCCGAAGCGCAACCATTCATGTCTCATGTTCCACTGAAGGCCGTGACTCTCACGCACGTCCGGTACCGGAAGGGCGATCAACTGGGCCATTTCCTGGCCTGGGTCTCGCTGGTCCCCGTCTTCATCAGCCTCGGCGGTTTCTTCTCCCACTTCATCTTCCGCCGAGAGCTCCAGGGCATATTCTTCGCCATTGGCTTACTCATTTCCCAGTTCATCAATGAGATCGTCAAAAAGTCGGTCCAGCAGGCCCGACCCGAAACCTGCGTCATCCTTGAGACGTGCGATTCTCATGGATGGCCTTCTAGCCACGCGCAATACATGTTCTTCTTCGCCGTATACCTAACCCTCCTCACCCGCCGGAGGCTGGGATCCTTGTTTCGGTACCAAATGTGGGTCGCCGTTCTCGTGATCTGGCCGTTATCGATTTTAACCCTCTATTCGAGAGTCTATCTGGGATATCATTCTGTGGCGCAGGTTTTGGCTGGGGCGGGGCTCGGTGCCGTGCTTGGTGGCGCCTGGTTCTGGGTGGTTAATTCTCAAATTAGACGCCATTTTCCAGCCATGGAAGAGACCGCTTTAGGGAGGTTCTTTTATATTAAGGACACATCAGATATTCCAGATGTATTGAGATTTGAATACGAGAATGCTAGAGCAGCCAGGAAACATGTCTCTTACAAGCGCTCCCAATGATAATGTGATTTGGTATGTTGGATTTTTGAATCACCTGTTGACGCAAATCATCATTTTCAAGATTTTATTTGTTTGGTCTTGCAAAAAAACTTGTTTGGTTGAAGTATATAGGTATATCAGTTCGAAAAAAAAAGAAAAAAAAATAGGTATATCAGTTCAATAAACTGCAATTATGATTGCTAATACTCCTCATAGTCATCAAGCTTGCATTTTTGAGAAACATTAGTGTAACACTCAGGTTATTAAAGAAGGTAAAAGGTAAAAGGATGAGTGTGAGAAGTGCTCAGTTTGAACAGATTTCATCCATTACTTATGGTTGTAGTGAAGATGAAAAGGACAAACACTTCGAAATGGAGCTATTTTGTTATAGACTTATAGTATCTTCCGAGGTTGTAATGGTTGGGCACTCATGCATTTGTTGAAGGGAACTTTCATTAATATGTTGTATGATAAGTAGAATATGTAACTATTTTTATTCTTTTTTTTACCAAATGAATACTGTGTTTAGCACGAAACAAGAATATGCTTACATACGTACATGATCCATTTTTAATCCTACTTACAACTATTTCTTTTTATTTTAAATAATGACATAAATATGGCCCATGGTTGATGCTTGCTAATATTTTTAAGCCTTGGAGTATTCCCCAATTTGCTTTGGAGGGTGGACTCATATAATGGTGTTGACCAAATTGAATAACAATAAGTTAAGTTATGAGATCATAAACATTTGTCGTATATTGGACCCATTTGGCAAGTTTTCTTTTTTTCATTTAGTAGATGGGAGCGGTGGGTGGGTTGTGTTGAATCTTAGTATGATCTCCCTATGATGCTCAGAAACTCATAGGGGGTGACATTTCTACTTTTCTAAATCTTTTATGTAACCTTTAGGAAATGATGTTTTTAGTCTCTAATGAAACCTTTATTACAACCGTTTTTGCTCTAAATAATGTTTCTCGTTGCATGATTATGTTTCCTATTTTGCATTTGTGTGCTGCTTAGGGTTCTTGTACACAAATTCATTTTGATATTCTCTTTGCTTCACACATTAACATAAGCTACATTGTCATGCTACTCTCTGTATTACAAATGTCAATACTCAATATTTGTCAAGTTTGTGCTTTGAGAAACCTTAAGATGTATGTTGATTACTTTTGTCATTGTGTGTATTACTATATACTCATAATGAATTCAATGAAGTTCCAGCTCAACAAAGCATAGTGTGCCACACTAGGATTAACTTGTCTTTCTGTTTCTTGACAGAGGTACTACAACTATAGGAGAATGTATAGAAGAAAGTGGCCTTCTGTTTCCAGTCTGTACTCTTAGTTATAGACTTATAGTAGCTTACAGTGTAATGGTTACTTGATTACACACTATGTAGCACTGAAATGGGAAATGGGATGACGGCCACAGGGAAACAACCGTTTTTAAAGAAGAAAAATATTATTACAAGAAACCCCGAGGGGCAGGTGTAAACATTAGAAAAAACATGGGGGAAACACGTATACTTCTCATTAAAAACATCTGGGTACAAATATACTTCTCATTAAAGACATGTACAAATATTAGCCAGTCAAAAGTGTCAATAGCTAAAAACAATGATATTGTTATGCTAGAAAGTGCATTTTAAATAATACAGAGTAACATATACTCAAACATAGGATTGACGACACTGTGTGCCTGGGTCGCTGATGTGTTTTCTTCCCTAAAAAGCATGTTTTCTTCTTCTAAGAAATAGATTACAAGTTACTTCATTTTGGAGAACAGCCCTAACACTTGAGTTTTTTAGAAAATGAGTTTTTTTCTTTCAATTTTTCTTTGTTCACAGAAATGACGATTGTAGATGTTTATTTATGTATAGAAGTGGCCCCTAACACCCTTCTTGTATGCTACATTCAACATGACATCCAAAAACAAAAAAATATGTTCAGAAATGTGTGCTTGTTCAGTCTTCTTGATGTGGCTAGGTAGCTCATAAACAACTTTTGCTGCTTTGCCCGGATCGAGCTCGCTGGAAGAACACACTGACATGGTTTTAGATTTTATGACCTCATATGACTTGAATATTTGGGCTGTGAACGTTCACTTTTGGGTTTGTGGTTCATACATTTGCAGAAAATGCTGTTTTTTTATGCCAACCACACACATTTAAAATATTAGATGTATCCCGTTCTCTTCTAACCTTCATACATTCATCTTCCATTTGGGATATCTTTGGAAAATATATCCTTTCAATTTATTTAATTTTTTCCTTTTTTCAGGATTATAGTTCAGGCTTAAAATACACAACATAGGCTATTATTCTTTGGAAAATATATCCTTTCAATTTATTTAATTCATTTTCCTTTTATTCACGGGAAGCAAGTATTTCAGAATGCTGATCTGGTTGCAGTTTCTTTCTCCAAAATTGCTAGCATCTGAACTGTGAATGTTCTTGCTGCTGGCGTTTGAAGAATCCATGTTGGCACATGAAGAGATAACAGGAAAAAAAAGCATTGACACCTTCTCACATGCGTGTTTTATGGCTTTTTGGACATGTTATACACGTATTGGTTGTGCTTTACATATCTCGGAAAGAGTAGGACTAAATTTTAGAGAAAATTGCTAATAGTATGACTAAAAGAACCGTAGATTTCTAAAATATGATATTACAGTTTTTTATTTCTAAATTAATGTTGTTTTGCATGTATGATGTGTGTTTTGTTGCTATTTTTCTCCCTTCATTCTAGTTACTACTTACTACTCATAAAAACATGTTTAAGCAAGGGATCCTCCAAATCTCTAAGTTAGTTATGTTATTTATGTTATTAATATCACATGCTCTTTAGAGTTGATGAATGAACCAAACTCTTACCTTGCATCAATTATGAGCTTAATAACAACGTACAATTACAGTATCTTGATGTGAGAAACCTATCACAATTACAATATTATTAATATACACATTACAAACAACACACATCGCAGGGTATATTTGGAGTTGGTGTTGGCACAGTATGCAAAGCATAGTCTTCAATTTCAGCATGAAATTCAGTTCCTTGATGGACTTCGATAATTTTGAACTTGTCCTTTGAGATGATGTTCTGCAACACAAATAATAATCAAATGCTAACATATATTTAAGCAAGTAAAGTTACTAATGAAACATCATATTTTAGATGCTTAGATGAAGCTAAACTATTCAAAATTGAAACTGAAAACTTGAAATGTTAAAAAAAAACAGTCCCTCTGAAGCAGTATGAAAATGAAGCATTTTTTATTGAATCAATTGTGATTCCAAAGTTTGATTCATAGCCTCTGACAGTGGCCATTATATTTAGGGACTCTCATGGATTAGTAGGAGCTGCAGGGCTTTTACTTGGAGTGATAGGTCTTTGCTTCTTGAGGTGCCTTCATTGAAGTTTGATGACACTTAATTTTTCTCATTTGCTCAACTTCATGCTGCACAAAGCATCAGAATTGGCAAATTACTATCAAAATGAAGGCCTTAACACATCAACCACACACAGACAACTTCACAAGGGCCAATATCACAACACCAACCACAATGCCTACACTGTGACTTGATTTCATCCCAAATTCATGCATTTCTACCAGAAAAATAGTACTCCCTCCGTCCCGTTAGAAGGTTCTCACTTTCCTTTTTGGACGTCCCATTAGAAGGTTCCCATTTCTATTTTAGGAAACAATTAACAATCTTAAGTGACAAATTAATCATTAAATATTAAAAATAATACATTTATAACATCACAATTATCAATACTAACACATTATAATATATACCTATTAAAATTATTTCTCAAAATATACCCGAATTATTTTATTTAAGGGAAAAGGTGCAAATAGGCCCATGTACTAACCAAAAAAAGTCAAATAAGCCCTTATTTAGAAGGCTCTGTCCGGCCGTCGTCATTTGGGGTGGTTTCCGGTGGAATTTTTTGATGAAATTTTTTGATCATCTTATTCATCAAGTCTAGTTTACTCATACCAAATTTCAGCTAAAACTTCAATCGGGAAGGCATTCAAATGAATTCTTGAAAATAACTGCGCAGTTAGAAGCGCAGTTATTTTCAATAATTCATTTGAATGCCTTCCCGATTGAAGTTTTAGTTGAAATTTGGTATGAGTAAACTGGACTTGATGAATAAGATGCTCCAAAAATTTCATCAAAAAATTCCACCGGGAACCACCCCAAATGGCGACGACCGGACAGAGCCTCCTAAATAAGGGCTTATTTGACCTTTTTTGGTTAGTATATGGGCCTATTTGCACCTTTTCCCTTTATTTAATTATCACCTAAATAACCGTGCCGTTTTGCTATGGGAACCTTCTAGCGGGACGGAGGTAATACTATTTTAAACATATAAAAAGATACTCCGTAATAAATAAACAATAATTGAGCTAATACATGAATACAAATTTACTAATTCCGTTGTAGTCTTTGAAAACAAGAATCCAATAATGCCATGTTGAAATTTGAGTGAAAACAATAAAACAATAAAGAGGAAGCAAGAAGGGGAACGTATCTGTTAACAATTATTTTACGCAACACGAAGAACAATTAAAGAACACACGAAATTTGGTAACCCAGTTCGCCACGAATGACTACATCTGGGGGCGCTACCAAGCAAGGAATATTATTGCTATTTTCGGATCCACACACATGATTACAAGGGAGAGGGCTTGTATTTATAGAGAAGTAAAACCTAACCCAAAGGCAACTAGGATGCGTTTCCAAAAATAAATTAAGAAACGTGTTTCCAAAAATAAATTAAGAAAGACTTGGTTAACAGTCTCTAACACCTTACAATCTCCCACCTTGAGACCGTCTTCTTCAAATCCTCCCTTGTTAGCATGGTAGCGCCGACCTTTCAACTTCAAGTACCAAAGCCAATTGAAGCTATGCAAAGGTTCAATTTCTCCAAGTAAACATGTCTGCTGGATTCTCACTCCCACGGATCTTCACAAGCTGCAATGCCTCTATCTCCAGAAGATAACGGATGTAGTGATACTTCAACCGAATGTGTTTGGTTCTCTTGTGAAAAGCTGAGTTGTTTGCCAAGAAAATAGCACTTTGACTGTCACTGTAAAGAATGCTATTCTTGTACTCCTTCCCAAGTTCCCCAAGTAAATTATGAAGCCACACCATCTCCTTACTTGCCTCCGTAATGGCCACATATTCAACTTCAGTGGTAGATAATGCAACAATCTTCTGCAGCTGCGAAAGCCAGGAAAATGCCATTCCACCAAATGTAAAAACATACCTGGTGGTGCTCCTCGATCCATCCGAGTCATTTGATGCCAAGTTTGCATCAACATGTCCCAGCAGCTCTACATTCTTCCCATCAAAACACAAAGCATTAGAAGCAGTACCTTTCAAATACCTCATGATCCACTTCACAGCTTCTCAGTGTTCTTCCTCGAGGTCTCCTATGTATCTGCTCACTACTCCCACCGCATGTGCAATGTCTGGCCTCTGCACACCATAGCATACATGATGTTGCCAACTGCCGAGGCGTAGGGGACCTTCTGCATTTGAGCACGCTCCTCCTTGTTCTTCGGTGAATCTTCTTTGTTAAGCTTGAAGTGACTACCCAGTGGTACACTTGCTGCCTTTGCATCTTGCATTCTGAATCTTTCTAGGACCTTCTGAATGTAGTCTGCCTGTGAAAGAAACAATCTGCCCGCTGCCTCATCCCTCTCGATTCGCATGTCCAAAATCTGTTTTGCCTCTCCAAGATCCTTCACGGAAAAACGTTCTGATAACTGTTTCTTTAGCTTCTTAATCTCCTTTGAACTAGCTCCTGCAATCAATATATCATCAACATATAACAACAAGATAAGATAACAGTTCTCGGTCCTCTTGTAGTAGTAGCAATTGTCGGTGTGGCGTCTCAAGAAATTTTTGTCCCTCATGAAACCATCAAATTTCTTGTACCACTGCTTCGGTGCCTGTTTCAACCCATATAAGCTCTTCATTAGCTTACATACGAGATCCTCACTACCTTCTGCCATGTAGCCCTCCGGTGGCACCATGTAAATCTCATCATTCAGATCACCATGAAGGAATGCAGTCTTCACATCCATCTGATGTAACAACAAATTCTCTGCAGCAACTAACCCCAACACTAACCGAATAGTAATTAGTTTCACAACTGCAGAGAATATGTCGTTGTAATCGATACCATACCGCTACTCGAATCCCTTCACAACCAGCCTAACTTTGTAGCGTTTGCTACCATCCGCCTCCTTGATGCGGTAGACCCACTTGCAGTGCAAAGCCTTCTTTCCTCTCGGTAGCTCAACTAACCTCCAAGTATCATTGGATGTGAGAGATGCCATCTCATCATCCATTGCAAGTTTCCACTTGCCCTTATCATCAACCCGAACTGCCTCTGCATAGGACTCCGGTTCACCACCATCAGTAAGCAACAAATAGAAATTAGAAGGTGAATACCTATTTAGTACTCTCTGGTTTCTGGCAGGCCGCTGCCTTGATGGGGTTGATGGATCTTCATCACTGGTCACTTCTTCATTCTGATCCTTCTCGCTCCCACCCGAGTTAGAGATATCCAACTCTATGATCTTCGGAATGTCTCGCTCAGAATTAGATGCACTCAATCTGTCCTTGTACATAATCTGTTCGTTGAAGACCACATCTCGGCTACGAATAATCTTCCTATTATGATCATCCTAGAATCTGTATCCATAGTCATCACCACCATATCCAACGAACGTACACTTCACAGATTTTGCGTCTAGCTTGCTTCGGTCAACGGAACTGAGATGAACATAAGCAACACAACCAAATATGCGGAGATATGACAAATTAACCTCCTTACCCGTCCACCTTTCTTCAGGTATGCCATTATCCAATGAGATCGTTGGACTTCTGTTGATGAGAAAAGCCGCGGTGTTCATTGCATCTGCCCAAAACATCTTCGGTAAACCACTCTTCAACCTTATGCATCTAGCCCGCTCATTCAGTGTTTTGTTCATGCGTTCAGCAACGCCATTATGCTGCGGAGTCCCTTTAGTTGTCTTCTCCATACGAACCTCATTCTCAGCACAAAACTTCTTGAACTCATGCAGTTCATACTCACCTTCGTTGTCAGACCGAAGGCACTTCAGTTTCAGACTTGTCTCTGTCTCAACAAGAGCTTTCCACCTCCTGAAAGCATCAAAGGCATCAGATATATTTTTGAGAAAATAAACCCACACCTTTCTTGTGGCATCATCAATAAAGGTCATGTAGTAGGCGGATCCTCCTAAGGATGTTACTTCTGCAGGTCCCCAAAGGTCGGTGTGAACTAGTTCCAGCTTCTCCGGTTTAATAGCTCGTCTTCCCTTCGAGAAACTGACACGTTTCTGTTTCCCGAATATGCAGTCCTCACATAAGCCAACCTCATTAGTCTTCAGGGTGGGCAGTTTGCCCTTTGAGCACAGCTCCTTCATCCCCTTTTCGCTCATGTGATCGAGACGACAGTGCCACAAATTGACATCGTTTGCTGCAGTGGCAACAACATCAGTACAATCCTTAGAGTTCGTTGTCATGTAAAACGTTCCCTCTTTCTTCCCTTTAGCAACCAGCAAGGCTCCCTTGATGATCCTCCAATTTTTGCTGCCGAATGTAACTGCATAGCCTTCCTCATCCAGCTGCCCAATTGAAAGAAGATTTCTCCTCAAACCAAGAATGTGTCGGACTCCACTCAGTTTCAGTATGCATCCGTTCAGAGTCTTCACGTGGACTGTACTCTTTCCGACAATTTTAAGAGGCTCATCATCAGCAAGATACACCTCTCCAAAATTGCTGGGAGTATACTGTTCCATCACTTCAGCATTACCACATGAATGGAACGAAGCTCCAGAATCTAGAATTCATGACTCCAACGGACTGCTCACGCTCAGGATCAGGAGATCATCGCCAGATGATTCTACCGCTGCATTGGCATATGTCTTCTCCTTCTGATCCTTGATCTCCTCCTTGCACTGGCTCTTGAACTGTCCATACTCCTCACAGTTCCAACACTTGATTTGACTTCTGTCCTTCTTGCCCTTGCTGTTTGACTTGGGTTTGGATCTTGATCCATACCGATTTGACTTGGACTTTGACTTCATTCTGCCCCGGTTCTCTGTACTCAACGCC